ATACCCCGGGAGGGCTCCAGGGCATGTCCAACCCACCAGACCCCAGCAGCAAGCTAACCTACCAATCAGAGCATCTGCCCCCTGGTGGCCAGTGCACATCACAGGGAGCTGTGGAATGGTCAGACACTTAGCACATTAGGCTTTTATTATATAGGATATATATATATTTTTTAATATATTTTATTGATTTTGTACAGTGAGGAAGGGAGAGAGATAGAGAGTTAGAAACATTGATGAGAGAGTCATTGATCAGCTGCCTCTTGCACACCCCCCACTGGGGACATGCCCGCAACCAAGGTACATGCCCTTGACGGGAATCGAACCCGGGACCCTTCAGTCCCCAAGCCGACGCTCTATCCACTGAGCCAAACCGGTTTCGGCGATATAGGATATTTTTAATCCTCTCCGGAGGCTATGTTTTTATTGATTTTCAGAGAGAAAGAGAAATGTCAACATGAGAGAGAAACATCAATCCATTGCTTCCTGCACATACCCTGACTGGGTATCAAATTTGCAACCTAGGTATGTGCCTTGCCCGGGAATTGAACCCGAAACCTTTTGGTGTACCCCACCAACTGAGCTACACAGCCCTTCCTCACCTCTTCCCCCTTCTGGTGGCTCCAGCCATTTCTCAGCCTGTGGCTGCCTCTCTAAGCTGTCTCCATCTTCCACGGCCTTCCCGTCTGTGCCTGTGTCTGTGTCCCCTCTGTGTCTGTCTGTGTGTCTGTGTGTCTGTCTGTGCCTGTGCCTGTGCCTGTTCCTATGTCTGTGCCTGTGCCTGTGTCTGTGTCTGTGTCTGTGTCTGTGTCCCCTCTGTGTCTGTCTGTGTGTCTGTGTGTCTGTGTCTGTGTCTGTGTCTGTGCCTGTGCCTGTGCCTGTGCCTGTGCCTGTGTCTGTGTCTGTGTCTGTGTCTGTGTCTGTGTCCCCTCTGTGTCTGTCTGTGTGTCTGTGTCTGTGTCTGTGTCTGTGCCTGTGCCTGTGCCTGTGCCTGTGCCTGTGTCTGTATCTGTGTCTGTGTCCCCTCTGTGTCTGTGTCTGTGTCTGTGTCCCCTCTGTGTCTGTCTGTGTGTCTGTGTGTCTGTGTCTGTGTCTGTGTCTGTGCCTGTGCCTGTGCCTGTGTCTGTATCTGTGTCTGTGTCCCCTCTGTGTCTGTGTCTGTGTCTGTGTCTGTGTCTGTGTCTGTGTCCCCTCTGTGTCTGTCTGTGTGTTTGTGTGTCTGTGTCTGTGTCTGTGTCTGTGTCTGTGCCTGTGCCTGTGCCTGTGTCTGTGTCTGTGCCTGTGCCTGTGTCTGTGCCTGTGTCTGTGCCTGTGCCTGTGTCTGTGCCTGTGCCTGTGCCTGTGTCTGTGTCTGTGTCTGTGCCTGTGCCTGTGTCTGTGTCTGTGTCTGTGTCTGTGCCTGTGCCTGTGCCTGTGTCTGTGTCTGTGTCCCCTCTGTGTCTGTGTCTGTGCCTGTGTTTGTGCCTGTGTCTGTGTCTGTCTGTGCCTGTGTCTGTGCCTGTGTCTGTGCCTGTGCCTGTGCCTGTGTCTGTGCCTGTGTCTGTGCCTGTGTCTGTGTCTGTGCCTGTGCCTGTGCCTGTGCCTGTGTCTGTGCCTGTGCCTGTGCCTGTGTCTGTGCCTGTGTCTGTGCCTGTGCCTGTGCCTGTGTCTGTGCCTGTGCCTGTGCCTGTGCCTGTGTCTGTGTCTGTGTCTGTGTCCCCTCTGTGTCTGTGTCTGTGCCTGTGTTTGTGCCTGTGTCTGTGTCTGTGTCTGTGCCTGTGTCTGTGCCTGTGTCTGTGCCTGTGCCTGTGCCTGTGTCTGTGCCTGTGTCTGTGCCTGTGTCTGTGTCTGTGCCTGTGCCTGTGTCTGTGCCTGTGCCTGTGCCTGTGCCTGTGTCTGTGCCTGTGCCTGTGCCTGTGTCTGTGTCTGTGCCTGTGCCTGTGTCTGTGCCTGTGTCTGTGCCTGTGCCTGTGTCTGTGCCTGTGCCTGTGTCTGTGTCTGTGCCTGTGCCTGTGTCTGTGCCTGTGCCTGTGTCTGTGTCTGTGCCTGTGCCTGTGTCTGTGCCTGTGTCTGTGCCTGTGTCTGTGTCTGTGCCTGTGTCTGTGTCTGTGCCTGTGCCTGTGTCTGTGTCTGTCTGTGCCTGTGTCTGTGCCTGTGCCTGTGCCTGTGCCTGTGCCTGTGTCTGTGCCTGTGCCTGTGCCTGTGTCTGCGTCTGTGCCTGTGTCTGTGTCCCCTGTGTCTGTGTCTGTGTCTTCTCTTACATCTATGAGGGGGACACTTGTCATCGGGTTTAGGCCCCATAGAGTAATTCAGGGTGCTTATCTCTTTTCTTTTTTAGTTTTAGGAAAGGGAATGGAGAGGGAGGGAGGCAGGGAGAGAGAGAGAAACACTGGGGACCAAGCCCACAACTCAGGCATATGCCCTGACCTGGAATCGGATCGTGACCTCTTGGTTCATAGGTCAACACTCAACAACTGAGCCACACCAGCCAGGCAAGATCCTTCTCTCCCTCTCTCTCTCTCTCTTTTTTTTAAAAAATATATTTTTATTGATTTCAGAGAGGAAGGGGGAGAGAGAGATAGAAACACCAGTAATGGGAGAGGATCAGTGTCTGGCTGCCTCCTGCCCTCTGCGGATGGAGCCTGCAACCCAGGCCTGTGCCCTTGGCTGGATTCTAACCTGGGACCCTTCGGTCCACAGGCTAATGCTCTATCCACTGAGCCATGCCAGCCGGGCAAAATCCTTCTCTTAATTACATCTGCAAAGACCCTTGTCCACATAAGGCTACATCCACAGGTTCCAGGGGCAGATCTTTGTGAGGGGCCACCATCCAACCCACTCCAGAGGGTGAGTGCTGGGCAGCTGTGTGAGAACTCCCGCGCCATAATCCCAGCCCGTGGGCACGGCTGTGCGCAGGGACGGTCTCTCCACAGACCCGAGCTCCAGAGCCTTCGCTGCCGCTGCCCTGCCCACAGCAGCAAGCACCCTGCCTGGCACGGAGCGGGCCCTCGGGAAGTGACGGTACAATGGGGACAGCAGTGTATCTGTCGCACCAGGGCTCTGCCACCCGATGGCGGTGGGACCCTCAGGCAACGTGCCCTTACTGCCATGAGCCTTCGTTTCTTCGTCTGTAAAGTGGAAATGATACTCAGCTCTGTGTTGGCGGTTTGGTGAGCGTCTAATGAGGCCGTAGGCACCAAGTGGCTGGCACAGGTCCTGGCCAGGATCCGCTGGAATGTGTGCTGGGCATCCGCTGGTGCCGGTGGGGCCAGGCCGCGGGCGATGTGCCTCTCGATGAGGAACTAGCCCTGGATCCAAGAGCTGAACCCAGCGCTGACCTTGGTTCAGTCACTTCTCTAAAACAAAGAATCTGGCTTCTCCACACATGGAAATCCCCTCAGCCTCCTGACCTCAGGCCTGGGCATGTGTCCTTCCACACCCCTCTCCCTTCCCCCAGAGAATGACAGGCTCCAGGGAGGGGGCTCAGGGGGAGGGTCTCCAGCCCACCCCCCCCCTGCCCCCCCCCGTCCCGGCACAATGAAGCGCCCATCCCTTAACCAATGCCACGGAGACCGCGCTCACCGGTGAGGGCCCTGGCTCTCTGGAGGCAGAAGTCACACTTTCAATCATTGCTCAGGAGGCCCCAACCCTGGCTGCCAAGTTTCACTTGTTATCAGCATCCTGGGTAAACCCAGACATTCAGAGAACATCTCTTCCAGGTGCAGGCATGAAAGCTACCAGATTTACGTGTTGGCATGTTCAATTAAAAAAATAAAAATAAATTTAAGAGCATGAGAACTACAGAGAACACATCTGCTGGTTAGGTATGTTTGCAGACCCTTGTGTAAGCCTCCATTTTATTTTTATTGATTTCAGAGAGGAAGTGGGAGGGAGAGAGAGATAGAAACATCAGTGATGAGAGAGGATCATTGATGGGCTGTCTCCTGCACGCCCCCTACTGGGGATTGAGCCCACAACCCGGGCATGTGCCCTGACTGGACCTTGAACCCGTGACCTCCTGGTTTATAGATCGACGCTCAGCACTAGGCCATACTGACCTCTGTGTTCCTGGGTCAAAGCTCAAACCCTGAGCCACACCCAGCTGGGCCTATTTTTTTTTTTTAATATGTTTTTATTACCCTAGCTGGTTTGGCTCAGTGGATAGAGCATTGGTCCTGTCCAGTGAACGGTCCTGGGTTCATTTCCACTCAAGGGCATGTACCTTGGTTGCAGGATCCCGGCGTATGTGGGAGGCCACCAATATATGTGTCTCTCTCACATCAATGTTTCTCTCTCTGTCTCTCCCCTCTGAGTCCGCAAACTGGACATATGCCCTGACAGTGAACCCATGACTTCCTGGTTCATAGGTCGATGCTCAACACTAAGCCATACTGGCCAGGCCACACCTCCATTTTAAACATATTTCTTTATTGATTTCAGAGAGGAAGGGAGAGGGAGAGAGAGAGAGAGAGAGAGAGAGAGAGAGAGAGAGGACATCAATGATGAGAGAGAATCATTGATCGGCTGCCTCCTGCACACCCCCTACTGGGGATCGAGCCCACAATCCAGGTATGTGCCCTTGGCCAAAATTGAACCAGGGACCCTTCAGTCCACTCTATCCACTGAGCCAAACCGGCCAGGGCCCACACCTCCCTTTTAAAGACAAGGGAAACTGAGTCCCAGAAAGGAAAGAAACTGACCTGGTGAGTCAGGGATCTATGAGTCAGGGATTCCAGTTTCATCTTAACCACGTGATGGAATTCATCACCAATAATGTGCCAACCAACATCATGTTACCTCTGGCCCAGTACGCTGAGAAGGACAGCTCATCCTGCTGCCAGAATCGAGTCGAAAGGAAATATCAGACTAACCCCGATCCAGGGGGACCTCTTACCAAGGGACTGTCCTGTAATGTTTAAAAATGTCAACTCCGTGAAGCCCAAGGCGGGCTGAGCAATGGCAGCAGCCGTGACATCAGATCGGATCCCGGACTGGGAAATAACGTCTTGTTAACAAGGACAGCTCGGTGCCCGCTTAGGCAGCACAGATCCTAAAAAATTGGAACGATACAGAGAAGATTAGCATGGCCCCATGCAAGGATGATGCGCAAATTCTCAAAGCATTTTATATTTTAAGGCGGGGTGGGGGGGAAGGACGGTTTGGGGCCCTAGCTGGTTTTGCTGAGTGGTTAGAGCATCAGCCTGTGGACTGAAGGATGCTGCTGGGTTGGATTCCGGTCAAGGACACACACCTGGGTTGTGGAGTCGATCCCCAGTAGGGGGCGTGCAGGAGGCAGCCAATCATTGATTCTCTCTCATCATGGATGTTTCTATCTCTCTCTCTCTCTCTCCCCCTTCCTCTCTGAAATCAATGGACATATATTTTGAAAAAAGGACAGTTTGGGGACAACTGGTGATTTGACTACAGACTGAGTTAGATACTAGTGTTGTTAAATGTTAAATGCCCTGCTTTTGATAACTGTACTGTGAGAGAATTAACAAACCTGGAAATACACAAAGGGGCAAAATGTCCGAAGCTACTCTCGAATGGCCAGGGAGAAGAGGAGGAGAGAAAGAGCTGATGATAAAGCAAACTGGTAAAGTGTTAACAATTGGTGAACCCAGATGAAGGTTATACAGAAAGCTTTGTCTTATTCTTGCCACTTTTCTGTAAGGTAAAAATGATTCCAAAAAAAGAAAAAAATGATTGCAAATTAAAAGTCATGGTTTTAAGGCTTGTGTTTCTGAGAGTATCTAGTCTGTACTTGCATCTGTGGTCAGTGTGGGGAGCAGGGAGGGTGAATTTGCTGCTTCAGACACTGCCTTGAGGTCTGACTAGGACCTTAGGGTGTAGTTAGGTTTAGGGGTGTGGCCAGAGTCTCAGAAGCGTGGTTGGGATGAGAGGCGGGCAGTATCCAAGGTTCAGAATTTGGGGGCGTGGCCAAACTCTCGGAGGTGTGGCCCGAATCTGGGGCAAGGCCTGCGAAATTCTGTTCCCAAGGGAGGAGTTGTCTGTGCTTAGAGCGCCCTCTCGCGGTTACCCTAAGATATGGCCTGACCTTTTTTAAAAAAAATATTTATAAATGTGTATATATATATATTTTTTTAATTGATATCAGAAAGGAAGGAAGAGATAGAAACATCACATCAATGATGAGAATCCAACCATGACCTCCTGGTCAATGCTCAACCACTGAGCCACACCAGCCAGAAAAGGCCTTGCCCTTTTAAAAAACAACTTATAGAGATAATGCATATATACAGCAATTTAACTATAAGTGTACAATTCAATGGTTTTAGCAAGATCAAGAGTTGTGCGATCAGGACCACAATCAATCAGCTGCCTCTGCACACCTCTCACTGGGGATGTGCCCGCAACCAAGGTACATGCCCTTGACCAGATCGAACCTGGGGCCTTTCAGTCCACAGGCCGAAGCTCTATCCACTGAACCAAACCGGTTAGGGCCACAATCAATTTTAAAACATTCCTTCCCTCACCCCCCCCTTCAGCCTCAGGCAACCCCGAATATACTTTCTGTCTCTATAGATTTGCCTATGCTGGACATTTTACATAAACCAAATCATACAACACGTGACTGGCTTCTTCCACTTTAGCATAATGTTTTTGAGGTTCATTTGAATTTCAGTGTGTTATCGGTAATTCACTGCTTTCAACGGCCAAATAATAGTCCATCGCATGGGTGTACTGCATTTAATTTATCCATTTATCAGTTGAATACTTAGGTGGTTTCAACAAACTTTTGCATGGGTGTATGTTTTCTGTTCTCTGGGCTATATGTACAGAGGAGGCTGGGTCATGCGATAAGTCCATGTTTAGCCTTCTGAGGAACTGCCAGACTGTTTGACATATTGAAATTGTGTCTCAAAAGAACTGTTGGCCCAGAAAGAAGCTCACTGCAGACTGATTCATATGCCTTTCAGCATAACGACTATTGCTTGTCTCATTTTTTATTCTTAGTATATTTCCAATAAGACATGATCTCACTTATCCAGGGGAAATGGTGAACAACACAGACGAACAAGAACAGACCCAGGGATAAGGAGCCATGGGTCAGACGGTTGGACCTCAAAAGGAGGGTGGGGATAAAAGGGAGAGATCAACCAAAGGACTTACGTGCACACATATGAGCCTAACCAGTGTTCATGGACAATAGGGGGTGGGGACATGAGTGGGGGGGTGGGATTGGAATGGGAGGTTGAGGACAAATATGTGATACCTTAATCAATAAAGAAATTAATAAAAATAATAATAAAAAGCAGCAGTGGCACCATATCGTACGTTCCCCCCAGCAGTGTACCGTCCGCAGCCTCTCCGAGGCTCACTCACTCTCAGTGCCGTCCCGGTGGGTGTGAGGCGGGCTCACGCTGTGGTTTGGACTCGCCTCTCCCTCACTGGTGATGACGCTGAGTATCTTTTCCTGTCATCCACTTCTTTTGCACCCATTATGCTACCACACGAACCTTTAACCGTCTCTGCCATCCTGGAGCCAGCTTTTCAAACTGAAACATTAATGATGTTGTTGAAGTCTCGGTGTATCCTTCTCAGAGTCCATCCTCTTCCTGCTCCATATCCCGCATGAATGGCTCAGCGTTACCGCACATATCCATCCCGTTATCCTGCACAAATGCATCCCCACGTGATTTATGGCCCTGGTTTGGCAGGTGTCCAAACTTGGTATAAATGACTAGAGGCCCAGTGCACGAAAGGCATGCACTGGAAGGGTCCCTAGTGGCTGCTGGCTGCTGGCTGCTGGCTGCTGGCTGAGACCTCCCTCCCTTCTCCCGGCTGGCTCTGCGTCCTGGTCGAACTCCTGGACAAACCCTCGGTGGAGGGGACAATTTGCAAAGTACGCTTTTATTATATAGGTTACCATACTGTGCTAATTCTTCTGCACTCCTTTGTTTGACTCATTGTATTAGTTCCCTGGGGCTGCTGTAACAAAGGACTGCAAACGGAGTGAGCGAAACAACAGAAATCTGTACTCTCTCACAATTTGGGACACTCAGGATCCAAAATCAAGGTGTGCTCAGGGCGGTGCTCCCTCCGCAGGCTCCGGGGGAGGGTCCCTCCTGGCCTCATCCTGGTTCCTGGCGTTCCTGGGCTTATCCACGCATCGCTCCAATCTCTGCCTTCGTCATCACCTGGCTTTCCCCGTGAGAGGGCCTGTGCCTGGGCCCACGTTTCCAGTCCTGTTGGGTATAGGGCCCATCCTAGTTCAATCTGAGCTCATCTACACTTGGTCACACCTGCAAAAGCTCCATTTCTAAATAAGCTCGGTTCCGGGGGACATGAATGGGGGGCGGGGGGGGGGACGGTTCAACCCAGCACACTCATGGCGTTTTCACAATTCCTGAGACGGCTGTGCGTGTCCACGTCACTCATCCCAGCTGCTGTGTGGGCATCCTCTGTGAGAGCACCCCACGATTTATCCCTCCTTTCTCCCGGGGGGGGCACCCGCCCGGTGTCCAGCTTTCTCCATTTCCCAGAAGGCTGCCCCGTTAGCATCCTGGAACCTGCCTCTGGGAGTTGCTTAGCTCGATGTTTCTCAACCTGCCGGACAAGATCCATTAGCGGGCTGTGAAATCAACTTAGTGGGCTGCAAACCGTTTTCCCTTTAATGAAATGGAATTGAATAGGATGGAAGACATCAGGGCACATGCACACGGCCGGGGTAAGGATGGCTGGCCCCGGGTAACGGTTTCAGGTGCACGGCGTCCTGATGTGAGCCGACGGGTTTGCAAGCCACGTCTCCGAAGGCTGTGCGGGGCCGTGAACTCGCCCTGTCAGAGATCTGACGGGCCCCACCAAAGTCCCACTGACACTTCCATGCGCCCTTTGTCATAGACAAAAATTTGAATTTTTGCCAGGCCCATGGGGTTCCACCCTGTTTTTCGGAGGAGGAAACTGAGGCTGACTCAGAGGTCAGCAATGCAAGAAGCTGGGAGCAAACACCGGCCTCCGCTCAGTCTGAGGTGCGGTGTGGAAGATCCCTCGAGTTAATGATTCTCTGTTTCTAAGAGACGGGGGTTGAGGGCTGAGCTAAACTCTCTCCTCCTCCCTCCACCTCAAAGGGCTTTTGAAAATCCAATGAACCAAAACCGGTTTGGCTCAGTGGATAGAGCGTCAGCCTGGGGACTGAAAGGTCCCAGGTTCAATTCCGGTCAAGGGCATGTACCTTGGTTTCGGGCACATCCCCAGTGGGGGGAGAGGAGGTGCAAGAGGCAGCTGATCGATGTTTCTCTCTCATCGATATTTCTAACTCTCTGTCCCTCTCTCTGTAAAAAAATCAATAAAATATATTTTTTTAAAAAAAGAAAAGAAAATCTAATGAGAAAAATGTAGTTAGACACACAGGTACCGACAGAGAGTATTCAATAAATGTTAGACATGAATATTATTCTCTGATTCGGAATTCTCTAACTAGGTGTGTTTCTGCGATCTGAACTTGGCCCTGCCGGCCGGGGGCGTGGCCTGCGGCGGTGGGGGCGGAGGGGCCGCCCGGCCCGCAGCGCCCCTGGTGGCCGCCCTGCGCTCGGCTGGGCTGAGCACCTGCGCAGGCGGCCCAGGTTTGTGGGCAAACCACGCCCTCCAGCCCAGCGGAGCAGCCTGACTTCCCCGCAGGCTCCTGGGGACCCAGGATTAGGTCACCGAATTCTTTCTTTTTTTAAATATACTTTATTGATTTTTTTACAGAGAGGAAAAGAGAGTTAGAAACATCGGTGACAGAGAAACATCGATCAGCTGCCTCCTGCACACTCCCTACTGGGGATGTGCCCAAAACCAACGTGCATACCCTTGACAGGAATCGAACCTGGGACCCTTCAGTCCGCAGGCCGACGCTCTATCCACTGAACCACGCCGCCCGGGCTGCCACCAAATTCTTGCTCCCTCAGACACCCTCCACCCAAACCCTGCTCCTAAGGGGCTAACTAGGGCAGTGGTCGGCAAACTTCTAAGTCAGCAGAGCCAAATATCAACAGTACAACGATAGAAATTTCTTTTGAGAGCCAAATATTTTAAACTTAAACTTCTTCTCATGCCACTTCTTCAAAATAGACTCGCCCAGGCCGTGGTATTTTGTGGAAGAGCCACACTCAAGGGACCCAAGAGCCG